GATATATAGATGTATAGATATATTATATATTATTATATAGATTATAATATATATAATCTATAACATATATTTATATAATATTTATATATATGTTGACGCTCGCGGGGTTGGTGGTGTTGTCCCTGCGTTGTAGGACAAACAGACAAAAAGAGAAAGTAAAGTTAAATAAAATAAATAAAAAATAAATAATTTATTTAATTATATTTAATACAAATAATTTAATTTATACAGAGCAGATGTTTATCTTTAGGGGCAGAGATAAGCGCTGCTGACAGAAAGAGACAGACACACAAGACAGAAAAATAACAAAGACAAAGAGGGACAGAGAAGAATAACAAAGACAAAGAGAGACAGAGACAAAGAGAGAAGGAGAGAGATAAAGACAAACGGAGACAGAGAGGTGTAGAGACAGACAGACGGAGACATAGACAGGGAGACAGAGAGAGAGAAGCAGAGACAAAGAGAGACAGAAAGACAAACAGAGACAGATATACAAACAGAGACAGACAGACAGACATATAGACAGAGATGAGGAGACAGACAGACAAACGGAGACAGGAGGAGACAGAGACAGGCACAGAGAGGGAGACAGTGTGGAGACACTGCAAGCGCATGAGTAAAAGAAAGAAACAGACAAAGAGAGACAAAGAGGCTGAGGTAAAGAGACAGAGGAGACAGTGCAGCGATGCAGAGACAAACAAACACAAAAGGAGACAGAGACGGAGACAACAGAGCATCGAGGAGACAGATTGAAACGTTATAAAAACAAAGAGGAGGAGGATCTAATTCGTTAACGGGTAATGCAAGCAAACAAGCACATTAGCAGCAGCAGCAACAGCAGCAGCAACAGCAACAGCAGCAGCAGCAATGCTGCTGGGCTGCAGCAGGGAGAGCTGTTGCTGTGTATTGTTACTGTTGAGTGTAGTTATTGTGGACAGGGGTTTATTAATAAAGAATAAATATAAAAATAAATATAATAAACAACAGACAATAATAATATAATATTATATGACAGAAATATAAGACATATTATAATCTCTATTATTAAAACAACTCTTAAAAACCCAACAGTTTGCTGCAGGGTCACTCTCAAATAAAGTGCTCTCTGCTGCTGCTGCTGCTGCTGCTGCCCTCGTGCTGCTACTGGTGCTGCTGCTGTTACTCCTCCTGCTGCTGCTGCTGCTGCTGACTAAAGGGAACGAGAAATAGCAATGAAATGTTTTAAATAAACAAACTTTTAAAAGAAATAATATATTTAAAATAAACACATTATACACACAACCGATCAGGGGGTAGTGTATGTCTGTCAGGGTCACCAGCAGCAGCAGCAGCAGCAGCAGCAGCAGCAGCAGCAGCACGTGACCGCTGCTGCTGCTGCTGCTGCTGCTGCTACTGTCGTTAGTGCAGTAGTTATGAGTATTGGGGTATTTATTTTAAAACAAATCGCAGAATAAATTAATTAAATGCAGCACCTCGTAGCGGCTCCTATCCCACACACAAACCCTAAACCCTAAACCCTAAACCCTAAACCCTAAACCACTGAAGACCATTATTGAAACAGTGTTTAATTCGTTTTTTTTACTATCGTAATGAACGCCCTTTATAAAGATAAGTATATGATCGTAATTATATTATTTTTATCTTCTTAATCTCTCTACTAATAAATAATGCAGCACACAGACGAAGTAAACCGCTTAACAACAACACCTTCGCCTCTATCCCTGTCTCCTTCAGAGACATCTTCATACCCTCTTTGGCGCTTCTCTCCTTTGTGCTCAGCCTCAAACCAGGGGCCCCCATGTGGGGCCCCTGAGGGGGGCCCCCTGTGGGGCCCCCAGGGGCCCCCATATGAGGCCCCTGAGGGGGCCCCCCTGTGGGGCCCCCAGGGGCCCCCCTTTGAGACCTCTGAGGGGGGCCCCCTCTGGAGCCCCCAGGGGGCCCCATGTGGGGCCCCCGAGGGGGCCCCCCCGTGGGGCCCCCAGGGACCCCCAAGGGGGGCCCCTTCAGTAACATCCTCTGCAGCAGCAGGGGGCCCCAATGACCGGTCTGACACCTCTGCAGCAGCAGCAGCAGCAGCAATAACAGGAGTAGCAGCAGCAGCAACAACAGGAGCAGCAGAAGGAGCAGCAACAGCAGAAGCAGCAACAGAAGTGGGAGCAGCAGATTCTAATTGTATTGAGCGTATAGATATGGGTGTTGTGCTGCGAGAGGTAAGATGTATTTTGCTGCAGCGTCGTGCAGCAGATGCAGCATATTTTTCTTCAGGTTGCTGCTCTTCAGTTGAGACATTTAAAGAGGAGACAGAAGGATTAGAGAGAGCAGCAGGTCTGCTGCATGCATTTTGGGGCTTTATTCGTTTATATCCTGCAGCTTTAAGGAGACTACCGAGGGCCCCCTTCTCTGTACAAGTTCAGGGGGCCCCCCCTGAAGGAGATTATAAAGAAGTAGTTATTAATAAAAACAAGTTTCACCCTCAAGGTATTGAAGTTCTTGCTGCAGC